TAAAATGATAATTTGATATAAATAAAATAAAAAATATATAAATTTGAAATAATAGTTAATATTAAATATAAAATATACAGTATTATAAATTGAATTAATATAATAAAAATAAATAAAATTAAAATAAATTAAATTAAATTTATTTATAATAAAATACAATTATACTTATATATATAATATTATATGAAAATAGTAATTTGTAAATAATATATTTTCTATGCAATAGCTGTATAGGATTTGTAATTATTTATTTGTTATATTATTTTATTTTTGAAAATGTTCGACAAATATATAAATTTAATTTATTTCAATAAACTTTTTATTTATGAATTTTTAATAAATAATTAAAGTACTTATTATTTATTCATTCTATTTATTTTTAAATTTTGGTAAATGTATAATAACTAAAAAATAATATTTATAATGTAAAAAAATTATTAATTGAAATTCAAGTATCCTTTGTTATGATATTTAAATAATATAAATAAGTTTTGTTATTTATTTATTTTTAAACTGAACAAATATAAACTTTTACAGAATTATTCATCTTATTTATAACTTAGAGTGTATTTACTTATTTATTTATATTATTTATATTTTAGAATCTATTCATTCAATTATTATAAAATCTATATATTGAATTACTATATTATTATGATTTATAATTATTATTATACTTTAGAATATAATTTATTCAATTATTATATGATTTATAATGAATCTATCTATTCACTAATTCAAAAAATTTTATTTAATTATTATATTATTAAGAATTTATAATATATTTATTAATATAAAATTTAACTTAATATATATTTACTGAACAATATATTATTTATTCTATAATATATTTATTTAATTATTATATTATTTAGAATTTATAATCTATTTATTCAATTATTTATTATTTATAATATAGAATCTATATAATGAATTATTATATTATTTTTAATTTGGAATATACTTGTTTAATTATTAATTAGTTTTAATTTATAATCTATTTTTATTTATTATATTATTTATAACTTAGAGTCTATATACTTAATTATTATATTAGATAGAATCTATATAAGCAATTATTATATTATTCATAATTTAGAATCTATATAAATAACTATATAAAATTTTCGCTATCTGATGTGATATATATAGATAAAATCACATTTATAAATAAATGACTAGTAGCTTAATTGGTAAGAGTTACCTTTTCCAACCCAAAGGTGGTGGGTTCAATCCCCACCATTGGGATTTTACTTGTAAGCCAATATATTGACATTAAGGGTGAAATGGTAAATTCAATGTTAAAGTAAGGGGATAAAGAGAAATTCAATGAAAAAGTAACGCCGGTAGCATTAAACTAACGACGTTAATTTAAAAGGGCACGTGTGCATGCAAATATAAAATACAAGGGGATCTGACGCAATTTTTAAAATATGAGGAGAAAACGCGCAGATTTCGTATAATACAGTGGATTTCGTGCAATAAACCCGTTTTTATTTGCTAAATTTGTCAAACAAGCTGAGTGTTTGAAATGCTTTGATTGTTTCTTTCGCGTCATTTCTGATTTTTTGTTTGTTCCCATGCTCTATAGTTTTTTTAATCTTATTTTTCACTTTAGTTGCGTGAAGTTAATCATGCCCTGAGGTAGCCATGAAACCCATCAATAACTTTAAGAATTCCCAACAAATTACTGATTTGCAATAAATAACTATAAAAAATAATTTATTATAAATGATTATTTATTATATTTAAATTTAATATGTACATAATGCATATTTTTCACTCATTATTATTCATATTAATTTAGTTAATACAAAATACATATTTGGTTCATCCATAGTGCATATTTGTCGTATTTAAATTAAATATACTAGTACAACGCCCGTGTATTACACGGGTTCTTGCTAATTTTTTTTCTTAAAATCTAAAATTAATGAGAAAAAGTAGTTGGAAATTTAAATACATTTTATAAAAATATATATATTATTATATATTTAGTATGACACTTTTTATTTCTGCAACTTACCTGTGTTATATTATAATAATTTTTTTAACTTACAAAACATATAACTACATTAAACATAATTATATCAATTAAGAAATAATTTTATTTTTCTAATGAATTTTAATAAATATTATTATTTTTTAACATTATAAAGATAAATAATTTATTTATTTCATATATACAATGTGGATGTCAAATCGAAGATCATCAAAAGATGATTAATTTGATATATTATATATGTAAAATCGATAGTAAATACAAAAGTTATCAATTTTTAAAATACATTTATAATTCAATAGCTAATTGAAGGAAACAAATCAAAAATCAAGGATATATTAGTCACTTAGTATCTCACTATGTAAAATTACAAAGAAATAAAGGGTTATATTATTACAATTGATATTAAAATACCTATGTTAGCTAAATAATATTGATGGAATGACCAAACCTAAATTATTAATTATTAATATATGAATATTATTTTTTCAAACCTAATTACGAAGAATGATTGCCAAGTAGGATTTCGAAACACCAGAAGCAGCCACGTAGGCTCAGTGTATTCGGGAATAATATATAGGGAGGATTAGTTGATAAATACTTTTTTTTAATTAATATTAAAAATAATTTTATTATTGTTATAAAGATAAATATAAATTATTTTTTTTATACATACAATATGATGTTAAATCGAAACTCATCAAAAGAAGATTAATTTGATATATTACATATGTAAAACTGATAAAAAATACAGAAGTTATTAACTTTTAAAATATATATCCAATTCAATATTTATAATAAGGAATGATATTAAAATGCAATTAATACATGTAACATGACCATAAATAATCAACATATTTATGGTAATCCGAACCTAATTATTTTTGGTTTAGAATTACATTAAAATTTACCAAGCCTAATAACGAAGCATGTAATTTTACCACATAGGATTCCGAAGCACCAGAAGCAGCCACGTAGGCTCAGCGCGTTCTGGATTAATATATAGGGGGGATAATGATGTATATTTAGTTCATTCATCATGACACTAGTACAACACC